CTCATGAAATCTTTCACATCAAACAGCCAGAGAGTCTTTCATTTACCATTTGAAAGATTATAGCTTAAAAAACATTCACTATCTAATGCTGTATGTTTTCAAATAGAACACTAGTGATTTGGAAACTACATGGCAAAATAAAACATTTACATTTCAGAAAAGCTATCAGAGTCCAACTTCTTATGAGGTAAGGAACTCTAATTTACTAAATGACAATCTTTTTCAACTTTTTAAATGGGAGATAAATTATAATTGGTGTCACTGCTTACCAGGGCTCCATTACATATCCTGACCACATCACTGGAACATAAAATGTGTCATTCCCTTTGCAAATCCTGGTGACATAAATGAGAACATCGCTGAGCTGTGGACTAATCTCCCCTGTCATAATCAGAGGGGTTTGTTCCTCCAGAAAGTAGGAATGCACTGTAATGATTTTTATAGTATATGATAGAACATTACAAATAATTTACTTGTAACCTTTACATACTCAGAAATTTAAACTTACCTTAAATTTCATTTTGTAATAACTTGCTTGTCTATTAAAATGCTGATTTTTATCCAGGTGAAGTTGATTGATTCAGTGTGTCAGCTTGTACCTATCTCTTTGGAGTCTTTTCAGATATTAAAAGCGTTATGTTTTATGTAATTATGTACAGTGCTGCACTTGAAGTCTGGGGATTATTTATTTAGATTTTGCTAGTCAATACTACATCAAATGTATTGTCTGTTAATGCCTGTAGTCATGAGCTGCTTCTTTATTTTATCCATCTAGGTCCTCCTAGCCAGCAGTTTTGTGCCCATTTATGCAGGACTGAAGCCAGTGGAATACAAAGGGCAGGTAAGATTGTAATCACTGAGGAATTACCGTCCTCCCTTTATTAATATGTTTCTTTTGAAACATCCAATTTCATAAGTATTCTAATGGCTCCAAATCAGTTTATGTGTTTTTTCCTCATAAATAGCTTTGTTTCTCTTTAAAAGGGAAAAAATACAGGGCTAGTGGTAACTTATCATGAAGATCTCGTGTATGGGAATGATTGACTGTGATGCTCTTGTTTTCATCTTTGAAGTATATATATATATATGTATATCTTTTTGTTGTTGTTACAGTGAGCGATTTCTTTTTTCCACCTAGTAAAGTCCTACTCACAGCCCCTTCTAAGCAGAGTTGTACCACCATCAGGGTGGGAAAGGGCTTCAGGGCTCCACACCTTGTCTTCCCCCAGACAAGGCAACATAGTTTCCTGCCAGCCTGCCCTCAGCCCCTCTGCTGGCAGAAGACCCACTCCTCTCCAAGGCTCTCTACTTACCCACACACTTGATCACTGCAAGACTGAAACCCGTTTTGTTTGAGGAGAGTACTCCTCACTTAGGGCAGGCACTTAAGACAGGATGCCAGTTCTTTCAGGGAAATTTATACATGAACATCCATCTAAAGTCTGCGCTGAGTGTGACCCAGCTTCCTTCTGTGATCTACGCAGAGTTTGTTCTGAGTGTTCACCATTCTACCCAAGGCAGCTGGTTTACTGCATTCAACATAAGCATTTTATTCTCAAATATGTTGTCTGTTTCACACATGCCACAGACATGTATTTATAACCAAATATAGTATCTATTTAACATATACCAGATACATGCATTTTATAATTAGATACAGTAGCTATTTAACAGGCACCAGAGATATGTATTTTATAATCAAATAGAGTATCTGTTTAGCATATACCAGAGATATGCATTTTATAATCAAATGCAGTATCTATTTAACACATACTAGAAATATGCATCTTATGATCAAATGGAATAGCTATTTAACACATACAAGAGTTACGTATTTTGTAATCAAATAGAGAATCTGTTTAGCATATACCAGCGATATGTATTTTATAATCAGTTATCTAACACATACTAGAGATATGTATTTTTTAATCAAATATAGTACCTTTTTAACACACTCCAGAGATATATATTTTATACTTAAATAGAGTAGCTATCTAGAACATACCAGAGAGATATATTTTATAATCAAATAGGGTATCTGTTTAGCATATACCGGTTATATGTATTTTATAATCACAGTATCTATCTAACACATACCAGACGTATGCATTTTTTAATCAAATATAGTACCTATTTAACACATGCCAGAGTTATATGTTTTGTAATCAAATAGAGTAGATATTTAACACATACCAGAGATCCACATTTTATAATAAAAGAAAGTATTTATTCAGCATATATCCAATAAAATATCTATTTAGCATACATCAGAGATCAGACATATATTCAGGATGAATAAATTACATTTGTTTTATATATGTGTAATATTTATTTATATATTTATTTTGTATTTTTTATTGCATTTTAGGTTTTGGGGTACATGTGAAGAACATGCAAGATTGTTGCATAGGTACACACATGGCAGTGTGATTTGCTGCCTTCCTCCCCTTCACCTATATCTGGCATTTCTCCCCATGCTATCTCTCCCCCAACTCCCCACCCCCCGCTGTCCCTCTCCTATTTCCACCCTATAGACCCCAGTGTGTGATGCTCCCCTCCCTGTGTCC